TTACTCTCAGAAATTCAGAGATGTACCTAATTTTAAGAGAAATTGTAGCTAATCAATATTTCATTAAGTAACAAGAAAGAATAATTGATTCTTAACATTTTAATGCTTCATTATTAGGACAGCTTGTATTATTAATCAAATATTGATTAGCAACAAATGTACATTTGTGGTTTCCTTTAATTAATACAGTCTGAGAGAACAAAGGTTTTTGATATACAAAATTGCTTTAACAGATGTGTTTAACAGAGTTTTACAGAAATCTGGCATATGTTTATAAAATACTTTAAGGTTTTATTATCATAATTATTACGTAATCATTTAGTTGTGTCAAAATCAGTGTAAAAGTAGTTTTTGTCTGTCCATTTGATAAACGAAATTTTAAAATTATTTCTTGTCAAATTATATTTAGACTCCTGTTAAGATTATATATTCTTGTAGCATAATTTGTACTATTATTTCTAAAACAGACAAAAACTTATTTTATCATTTGTTAATTTCTTTGCATTGCTATGTTTTTAAAATGAAATATTATTTTTAGATTTCCTTATTAATACCTTAATGTCATGTTTTTTTAGGATCTAGATCAGGGTTTACTAACTTGGGCAATATCACCCATCGGTGGGTGTTTTCAACTGTTGGGTGGGCAATTGGAAATTTTTGTGGGCAATGTAAAATTTTGAGTATCAAAAAGGTATCTGTTACCTGGAAAAAATACTAAAAGAAGACATGCAAATAACCTGTATGAAATAAAAGAGGAGGGTAAATGGGAATAACTGGGTCATATCCCTAGATAAGATATAAATATCCCCCCAAAATAATGACTATTTTAATATTTTCTATAGTTTTGAGAAGACCCATAAACATTCAAATAGTTTTTCATACTAAATAACTTCCTTCAGATATAAATCAGTTAAGGGAAGACCAAAAATAACAAAAATATTTGAATTTTTAATTCAGAGTAATCCTTCTCTCAGTCTGAGTACTACCCAATCTATCCTGTTGTTTCACCCATAGAAGAGAATA